CTTATTCATAGTGAGATGGAGACAAATATTCGGTTCTGTGGTGTTCCTCTGGAGGACTCTGAGGCTGCAGATGAGGGCGATCCTCAACATTCTGGAAAGAGTTTAGATCCACTTTTTCCTGCACTTTCTTTTAGTCTGTTGGCTTTTCAGTCCCCCTGTGGAACAGTGATGAGTTCATGGACTTACAGTGCTGTAATCTGGGGTTTGATTCCCTATTAAGGACACAACGGATAGCCCAACGTTGCTTTGCTGTAACAATGGTAATCAACGAAGTCTTTAAATGACATATAAAAACAAAAAGGAGGCCACTTTGAGATAAGCTGCTCTTGACTTGTTTTCTTCATTTGGTTCATTTAGAGTATGATATTTTGGGTCTTTCCCTGGTTGCTTTTGAGCCTGCACCTTACTTGATAGCTGATTTTGGTTCATACAGGAATATTTACTTCTCAGTTACATGAATTGACAGTTATGCCTTATCTGACACAGTTGTTCAAAACTTTGTGATTTAGCCTGCCAATGCTAGCTGGAAGCATTTTCCAACTCTTAAATAATACAGCTGCTCCTCGATTTTCTGGGTTCTAAGGTGGAGTTTGTAGTTAACCTGAATTGATCAATGTCCCCTGATGGGACAGGGTAAAGTCTATGGATTTACAACTGTAAAATCCAATATTTTGTTTTCCTTTCACTTCACTTTATTGGAAGATTCTCAGGATCACCAACTTCCTTGATGATGAGCTGGAACCATTGTTAACGTGCACATTGTTGGCTTCTACATTCATCCCTATTATCGTTGACATCTCAAATTTTATTGGCTCCTGTAGGTGGTAATAGTTCTGCCCCTATTCATGGGTCCTAACCCCTGACATTAGCCCCTTATGATTATGGGATTCTAGCTGTGTGTTGTGGAAGTTAACATTTTCTTAAACCAAAAATGTAATTCCAATAATAGTTGCCTCCTTTCACACTCTCTTGCCCTTCCTTCCTAGTAAGAGCCAGTGTTTGAGACTGGGATTGAGTCTGTCACGTGAAAGTGATAACATTATCTGAATGAGGTGATTACATACAGTACTAGGATAGAAGGCGCATTGACGTAGGTAGAGAATATCATGAGACAAATATTGCCAAGGGCAATTAAATGAGGTATAAAAGACTTGAGCAACCAAGAGAAAATCAGACCAATGCTTAGATGGGCAAAAAAAGAAACCCTGGGCAGTCAAGTAATAGCACTTTAAATACTTGTTAAAATGTATGATGGTAAAAATATATCTTGGAAATATTTTTTTTGCATTGCAAATTACAGTGCTATTCAAAACCCTTCTTTAGTCATGAACAAATATTTTAATATGGTTTTGAAACAGCAAAACAGATGCATATTTTTTTATACTAACAAATGTGTTAAGATTTCACCAGTTATGAAACCTACATGCATTTGTTTTAAATATGTAGTGGCAGCCTTCATATGTTGAAGTTATATTAGGTTTGAAGACAATATGTAGTATTACTCTCTCTCTCTCTCTCTC